CCGTATTAGAGGAAGCAACATGGATTGCTAGATGAAACTACAAAAAAAAAAGTGAATAGAAATGTCTCATAGCTCGATGTTTTTTTCTACCTAATCTCGAAAAATATCACTTTCTTCGAGAGAGAAAAAAAAAAAAACTCCCATCAACTCATCTACATAAAAAAAGACATATGAAAGACACGTGGATAACACTGATTAAGTTTTTTTTTTTTTTTTTTTATCACTACGGTAGTTGTTTCACTGTTTGTTCGATGAAACCTAAATTTCTTAGTTCCAAGTGAGCAAATACGTTAATTAATAAATACAATGGAATGAAATCAGGAGAAAACTCGCCGTGACTTCACATTTCTGTCCATTGATTACGTGAATTTTTCCATGTTCCAGACATTTATCTGCGGCAGCCTTGTTTTCAAAAACAACAAAACCAAGACCACGAGGATTTCCCAATATTTCAATCTGTTCGACCACGCCAAAACTGTCGAAGTACTGTCGCAAATCATCCACTGTGTGCCATGCCCAGTGAATTCCTGCAAAACGGGGTTTTTCAGCGAAATAATTTATACGCCATGCTGGTATATAAAGTGGTTGGAAAAATGAAAAACGATTTTCGTATTTTACCTGACAAAGACAGCTTACATCCGGGATCGGGTTCAATCTCCAGAAAAGAAGGCGGATGATTTGGTAACAGAGGTGACATCTGCTCACGTGGTATGGCACGTTTTGGATCCACCACCTGGAAGCAGGGGTACGTGAGAGAGTTTGATTTTTTTTTCCAAAAATGCTGCATATCAAATGCGCCCTCCACAGTTTCCGTTTAACCACAGTTCGTGCTAAAATTTCTCGACAGCTTGTCAATTCATGTTATTTCAACAACTTTTTACGCATCTTCCATAACAAATTTACTCCATGACAGATTTATTTCATGCTGGTTCGAGTATTTCTCTTTGATGATCTGAATTCCAAAAGTACGAAGATTACAGTTTCCAAGAGATAACATATTTGATAAGTTAAAGACATATCACAGCGGATATGAATGAATTCGAGTTCTCCCTCACTTTCAATCTTTTGCATCTCGGATTCCATCCAATGTTTTTCCTCCAGTGAAGTTATCTAATACGCGGTGCCCGCAGATTGC